CAACATCAGGTGGTGAGCGTGAAGTCCAGCGAACTATGCTGGAGCTTCTGAACCAGCTGGATGGTTTCGACGACCGTGGAGACGTCAAGGTCATCATGGCCACAAACAAGATCGAAACCCTGGATCCCGCTCTGATCCGACCTGGACGTATCGATCGAAAGATTCTCTTCGAGAACCCCGACCAGAACACCAAGCGCAAGATCTTCACACTTCACACCTCAAAGATGAACCTCAACGATGATGTCGATCTTGAGGAATTCATCTCCCAAAAGGACGACCTTTCAGGTGCCGACATCAAGGCCATCTGCTCCGAAGCCGGTCTGCTCGCTCTCCGAGAACGACGAATGCGGGTGCAAATGGCGGACTTCAGATCAGCGCGTGAGAGAGTACTCCGTACAAAGCAGGAGGGTGAGCCAGAGGGTCTGTATCTGTAAAGTACTTGTACATGAGCGATTGGGACAGATAGATGGGTCTCGGTTATTAATGAGAAATAGAGGTTTAACAGCCACTTTGAGCGGAGCGTTTTATACTAGGTATAAATGCTTAGGTTGGCAATGCCCTAGGACTTGATGTTCAGTGTAATGTTACATGTTGACAGCGTAATGCTTCTGCAATTTTCGTGAACGGGCTTTATCCCGCCTCCTTTACCATTAGGCCTTGTTCAGTAGACAAACAGACTCCATACTAAACCGATACTTCATTGTCCATCCCGACATCCTCCATAACCCATGCACGGATCCTAAAATGCAGACATATCATGAGGATCCCAGTTGTTGTTTCTAATACCAAGCTGGCAGACGGTGTAGGCGTAAAACTAATTGCCGTTCTCCTTCTTCACAACCTCATTGTTCTGCACTCCGACAGGTGAATGGTTGTACAGCCATCGTGCAATGATGAAGCTGCCGATGGCCCAGCCCCAGACGAGAACGGCAATGGATGAAGTGACGAGCAGTGCTGGTACGAGAACAAGAAGGGCAACGCCGATCCAGAAAAGAGCAAAGACGATTGCTGCACCAAGGGCGAATACGATGGTTGACAGGGAGAATGTGAGGAAGATTAGAAGAGGGAGGAAAGAGAGAAGAAGTTGTGATACAATAAAGGACTGTTTTGTTAGTGATGGTTGATGGGCGGTGAGAGGGAACGTACAAAGAGAATAGGTCGCGATGAAGCAAAGGAAGCAGTATTGTCATAAGCTTTCTGTCGAGAATTAGGCGGAACAACACGATCGACGGAGCTCCGCGCGTAGGCGATGAAGCCTGATGCGTTGTCACGAGCAGTCTCGCTGTAAGAGCTTGTAGCGGTGGGAGCCATTGCTGCGATGGACGGTGTGAGAAAGGAGCGTGTATGGTTGAAGTTGGTCTATGGTGTTGGTGGTACAATTGTCATTATGGAAGTGCTTGAGATACCTCTTCAGGGAGGTTGAGGTCAGCTTTCCTTTGAGATGACGTGGGGGATGTGCTGGGTACGTACCCACTACACACGGCAATTGGATCCGGGGATGGTGAGGTACGGAGGGGGCCAATCAGATATTACACTTGCTTGGCTTGTTCAATATCATCGTTCTGCGAGTACCATTAACTGTAACGATGTGTAAAGATTAGTCGAGTTGATAATTGATTATGTTCAAGAGATTACCGTAGTGCCTAAACAATCTGAGTCCTGCCTGTCGAAATTCAGAGACTGCTCCTCCGATATCCAAACGCCATAATAACCATCCACAATGCCTTCCGGTTCTTCACAAATAGCTCATTCAACATCGCCCACTGAAACTGTGCTCATCTGAGCAACAAGTTGGTCAAGGCGTGACAAGACTTGATGAATCTCCAGCCTTGTTTCATGGTTCTTGACCAACATGCCTGATACAAGCTCATACGCCAGCTGGTTGCTCAAAGCCTCGCGTGCAGACAGGCTCTCATCACACAAGGCCTTGAGACTTTTCATAAACTGCTCATGCTCTGAAGCAATCTGACACGACCGTCGATCCTTTGTCCGACAAAAGCTATCCCACAGTTAATCTCGTCCAGCTCTCCCTCTCTTCGCCACACCTAGCATCAGTGCAAAGCAGCATCCGAGTTACCATATATCCGCGCGGAGATTGCTCTCCAGCCTTGCGACTTGCTCTGGAGCTAGGAAGATATACGAGCAGTCATCGAAATTTGTTGACCCCCAACGGATGAATACTTTGCTCACGCCAACATCAGTCAAAAGAGGACAGATGTTTGGGGAATTGGGTTCGTGGAGCAAGATGTTGTCTGGCTTGATGTACTTGTGCTTGATTGACCGTCCATGTATATGAGCCACAGCTTGTGCCAACTTCTTCATGATGCGATAGATGCAGAGGTCGGACTGTGGCGAGCTTGGGCTGAACTAAGTGCACCGATCTTTTCGTTTGCCGTCCGTTGACTTCAAAAAGTTCTCGAGGGTGTAGGGGGCCTAGGGTCTCATTATGAGATGAATGACGCCGTTGTCCTCTTCGTATCTCTCGCCGTTGGCAACAGTGAACGCTTCGACCAGTTTGACGATGTTGGGGTGGTTGCAAACTTCCAGAACCCCAATCTGAAGAATCTTGCTCCGATCATTACAGAAGAAGGTTTCCATCGCAAGTTCCTCAGAGTTTTTCTTGTGCTCTACTCTAACGACTGCCCCGAAGCTCCCCTTGGCTATGGGCTCGAATGCCTTTTGCTCGTAAGGCACGTCCTCGGTCTTGTTATAGGTATGCACGTATCGCGGCTCGAGCATCCTAGCAAATTGAAACAGACATCTTTCTAAATGTGGTATCCGTTATTGTTAGCTCTATGTTACCAACTAACAAGTAGTGGCATACCTATGCTCCTCGAACGATCGCACCGCCTCCATTTGGGGAACCAGAGATGCCCCATTTAGTGCTGTTTTCCCCAGGGTCTCGGCAATACTGATGGTCATCTTCACGAGTCCTTGCTGATTCGGTAGGGATCGAGGGTAGCCCGTCCTTTCATCAATGTCCAGGATGAACTGGGAGGAAAACAGAGCGTCTAGGGCATCAGAGCGCCCCTGTTCTCTGTTCTTGCCGTAGAAGTCGACGAGTTCTGTAAGTTCTGCGATACATCTCTTTATTCTTTCCAAGAGTTCCCCAATATAAGCAGGAACACCATTAGCGATACTGGAGCCCATCTCGCGTAGTTCGTATCGCAGAGCATTGAGGTCTGTCTCCAATGTCTGTGACCTTACATCGATGAAACCAGCCACCGTTGAGCCTTGTCTGAGGTGACTTTTACCCCAAGCTCTGATCCAGTGGGCAAATTTGAGGGACCCATCGAGTCTCTGGAAATTCCCGTCAATGTCATCAGAAAAATGGTAGGGTCGAGGCTGAGGAGTGGCCAAAGACAATCGTTCGCACAAGATATCAACGGTTCGTGCTAGGGCGTTGGTGCGAGTAGAAGGCCTCAATAAGGCAGACAATTGCAGAATGTCTTGCGGAGTATTTGCTTGTGGTTCGCCTGGGCTCCCGGAGTGATATATCGCCCAACCCCTGCTTGTGCGACGCAGCCTGATTCCTTAACCACTGTTGCTAGGCGTATCACATCCTGCCAGCTAGCACATTTCCTCTCCGTGGCGCTCTGTCATCGAACCTTTACCTCTTGACCAACATTCTGCAAGCACACGAGGGATGGTTGGTTATGCTGGAGCAAAATGTCTCCGCGGTTCTGTGGCCCTGGATAGTGTTATCAGAAGGGGCCCTACAGACGATACGTCGAACATTCCAACGGACAAAGGAATCTTTACATATAATGATCGTCTTTGTGTTGTATATGCTGATGTCCTTTTTCGGATTATCCTTCTGGTAAGTTTCACTTACCTCGAGTTGGCCCATAAGGGGGCCAAGTGTGAGACCGAGCTTAAGCTCGTTACGCCCTGACATTTCTAGCAATTGTTATTCAGTATACAATGATACATCATTGTTCGCTGCGCTCCCAGTAAAAGCTCAAGATGTCATCAGGCGTCGTCAAACCTCAAGCATTGAAAGTCATATGAACTAATCTGACATATTGTCTCACTCTCTACGGCATATGCCGCAATGGCGCAGATTTGATCTCTAACAGACTCATCAATTGAATTGTAATGTAATAATCTGGCGAAAGTCTGCTCTAGTTCGGCGAGTTCTATCAAGGAGTCAATCCTGGCACAATCTCATACGCCATTTAGTTGCTCATACTCCCATGCCGAGGCGGCTTGTTGTAGCATATGTGAGAACACAACCATGGAATTTCTTAATCGGAGCATTAGACAAGGTCAATGGCCAATCGTCTTGCGAAAACTACCGGAGTTCATTGACATGTGCCAGGCGTTTCTTGGTCAGTCCTAGGAGTCTCGGACCACGATATATATAATTGCCTCGTATCTATAGACTGAGATCCATTGACAGGAATGTACCATATGTAGTAACCCTTCGTTCAAGCGATCATTGGTGGGTACAAATGCTCCACGGCCAGTATTGCTTTTTACATGATACTGATGTCAAGCTGTGACGGTTGAATCGAAACTGAAGCATGTATTTGGCGGTTATGTATTCTTACCAGACTCTCCAAGAATTAAAGATGTGATCTATCATGAGTACTTTCATCTGCTCTCGATTGGCGGCAATAAAAGCTCACAATTTGATAACACCAACAGGATCGCGAACTTCAAAGGCACCTCTTGATCACAAGAGCATCAAAGATTCGGTGAAGACATATACGGAGACCTTAGCTACACGTGCCTGTTTATTTACAAAATCAACACTTTCGCTTTTTCTCCCTCGCAAATACGCATGTACATATTGTCGGTCGAATTGTACAATAAAAGGGAAGCCCATTGTTATGGGCGGCACAGTATCATAGCGTACTGGAACTATATAAGGCTGAGTTCCGGGCATTTGATTAGTGCTCAGGCAATCTGAACCACTTTATGCGTCACTATCTAAGCGACTCGCACGGTAAATCTTAAAACAGTGGGTCCAACCATGATCGGACCGCAAAAATGAATGCTCTCTGTGAGGTTCGAACTCACGACCTTTGGATAACCCTAGCTTGAAGCTAAGTCACTCTATACAGATATGAGACCAACGCTCTAACCAACTGAGCCAAGAAAGCTTTTTAGGTATGATGTTTGTTGATGAAGGTGAGCTCTAATCACAAATACTATCGTCTACTCGTCGTAGTTCTCACTCCTCTCTGTTCGTAGATCGTCATTCGCTCTTGTCTCGCATCTCGTGCGGCGATGCTGCGCCTCAGTCCACGCACTACACATCCAACTTAGCTAGGCGGCCGCGTTTACTGCGCCTAGAGGCAACAGCAATACATGTTTTGGTTGGATGAGATTACGTAGGCTTAAGAGAATGCGAAATGGACGGAATTGGGGTAATACAGCGAGGAAGGACATATAAGCTTGGAGGGTGCCTGGTTGAGTATATCAGAACAATACAATCAACGAAACCTCCAATTCTTATAAACTTACTTTTACTCATATCACATTTGTATAACTCGTATCATCTTCACAATGACCCTTTACTCTACATCCAACAAGTCTATTGAGGACGTTGATCCTCTCAAGCAAGCTGGGCAACCTCCGTCGTATACCATCCAGCCGGATCGCACAGAGTACCAACCTCCTCAACCTCAAGATCGAAATGCTTCTTCTACAGCCAGGCCAACAGCCGGCGAGCGGTTTCACAAGATCAGCTCCAAGGCTGGTTCGCCATTGAACAAGGCCGCCAACTTGTTTGGTGCCGAGGGATGGTGGCCTTCTACAATGGACAAGGAGTGCAGCAAGGCTGCTCGAATTCTTCACTCTTTCACCAGTGAGTATCATCTCAATCATAAACTATGAAAGGCCATTGACTAACTTACACTCTCAGGCCTCAACTCGTCTACATCGCCCACAGAAAAAGGTCCCTTCCACCCTACCGGACTTACACGCAAGTCGATGGTCAAAATCCCCCCTTCTGTCCTCCAAAGCGCAGCCGGTCTAGCCATCTTCAACGTCATCCGTGCCGGCGCCGGCCATAACTCACTCTCCGGTGGCTCCGGTATAGTCATCGCCCGACGTTCAGATGGTACTTGGTCTCCTCCGTCTTCCTTCATTGTAAGCAGTCTCGGTGCAGGATTTGTCTTTGGTCTTGATGTCTACGATTGCGTTTGTGTTCTCAACACTCCGGAGCAAGTCGCCACATTCACAAAGCCTCGCCTTTCATTCGGTGCAGAGGGATCAGTTGCTCTGGGGCCCCTCGGGACAGGTGGTAGTGTTGAGGCTGCTCTTAGCAAGACCGCTCGACCTGTGTGGAGCTACATGAAAAGCCGCGGTTTGTGGATGGGTGTTCAAATCGACGGCACGATCGCTGTCACTCGGGGCGATGCCAATGCTACTTTCTACAACGAGCGTGGGATCACAGCACAGAAGATTCTTTGTGGCGACGTTGCTTGGCCAATGGCTGCTAAGCCTCTTTTCGAGGTCCTCCAGGCTCTCGAGGGTCGGACTGATTATGACCGGACTGTTGTGCAAGCAGTTGGCCAGGTTCCTCCCCCTGGAGATACTATCTTGTCTGAGAAGCAGCAGAGATACACTGATGAGCCTCAGACGCAAGAGACTCGAGAGCAAACACCGCCTGAGGTTGCTTCTCGTGATGTCAAGGACGAGCTTCCCGATTATGAGGTTGTGAAAAAGGAAGAGGAGGAAAAGATTGTGGACGATGAGAAGGCCAGGCTTGCTGCATCAGGATACTAGTTTTGGGAGTCTTGGGTGTTTGCATACTGGGCGTTGTTTTATGTCAATCTTAGCCTGGGTCTTAGTCTTCTTATCCCTAGGTCTTGTAATAGTTCTCCGAAGCATTTGATCGTACTGTTTTCATTTAAACCGATATATATAAAGAGATAGAGGTCGGGTACGTAGTTGGTATTGTCTCTTCTTGGCATCGACATTAACTGTAGAAAGACCAGGTCTCCTTAAAGTTCATGGGGTATCCGGGAGAGAAGTCGAGCAGACAGAGCAACCAGATCAGACATTGGTTGGCAACTTATCAAGAGCAATTTTGCGTCGATGGATCCTCAGCCAAGGTCGAAGAAGTATGTTCTTGTCAAAACTTGCCATTGTCATTACGAATGATATGCAAATCTATGTCAAAGTCCCAGCTCCCATTCATGGACTTTCCAATCAAATTCGAGCCTCCTCATTACACAGCCTCATCTCCAACCGGCCCCCTTCGCTTCCTTCTAGTATTCGCATCCAGGTTCTCAATCTCCTCAGCGCCACTTCGAAGCGTAGACTCAGAGCTAATAGCAGGGGCACTCGCGCTTTCAGGCAACCTAACCTTCTTGCCTCCCCAGCCAGCAGCCATAGATAAGGTCTGAGCAGCATAGTCTAGGTCCCCGTCGAACCCGTACCGAAAAGCCTCCGTCTCTTGAAGCGGGAGGTGGTTGAAGCGCCAGTCCCAGACACTAGCGTAGGTAGAGCGATATGATGCGAATGCCATGATCGTGCCGATAAATCCGCCTCCTAAAATGTCGTACCAGTTGTGTGCAGCGTCGATGGTGAGTGAACCAGCGATTAGGACTGCTCCGAGGAGAGGGAGGAATGTGAGGCAGAGTTTCCAGAAGGCGGGCTTGTGGTCTGCCCAGACCTTGAGTTTGGCGTTGAGCCATAGGAAAAGAAATCCGAATCCAGCGAAAGCGGCAGTCGTGTGTCCGCTTGGGAACGAAGTGATGGCATTTTGTATCCTCGACTTGTCAGGCTGTGTGCAGATTTCTGTGGTGTACATGATTTGGTAGAAACCAACTCCATTCAGACCAGTCTTGTTGTGTGTTTTGGCGAGAGAAATATCTGGCATGCAAACATCGAGAAAGTAAGGTCTGAAACCACCGACAAGTTGTTTGAGGGTGACCTGAAAGAGAGACGCCAGAATGACGGACCAATTTGTTCCAATGATGGCGTTGCTCGCATCCCAGGCCGACTTGATCCGGAATTGGGCGACGATATAGGTGATGATAGGTATAGCGATGGATATCAAGCCTGATAGCCATGAAGGAAGAATCCAACCGCGATCAGGGTACGCCCACTGTGGGTAGACAATATCTCCCGAGGTCGCATCGAAGGTGACGGGAAACGTTCGTGTGATGACGACAGGAGAATGGTAGATCTAACAAATTAGCAACGATTAAAAACACAGGGAACAAACATACACCAAAAGCAACAGCTCCAACAACAGCCATGGCGAGTAAATCGCGCCAGTTAACAAGAAACCATTGTCGCATAAACGTCTTGAACTTTTGTTTCTTGGACTGGGACCTGTTGGCCGCGGCCGAGTTGACTCTTGGGAGGAGAGGCATGACGACCTCAGAATAACGATATCGCCTTCACAAAGAGAATGTCGGAAGATAATTAATTATTAGGTCAAGAGGAGGAATAAGGAGGAAGGGAGGAAACGGACGTACGTAGGACAGAGCTTAGCTTGTGGTTGTCGCGTGCCAGTGCCTGCTTTGAGTTGTCTGACGTCATGGCATGCTTAATCGATCGGGATCGTAAACCTTCGCGACAATACAAGCTTCAGAAACTCATCAAATTTGAATAAGACACAAAATAACATAAGATAAAATATCAAATATTAGTATAATCTATAAGTAAAAGATAAAAACTCCGTCGCATGCTAAATATAAATACCATCTATCCAAACGCCATGTTTACCATGAATGGATCATCACTTCTTCAACTCTCCAGGCCCCTTGATTCCACTCGCGCGACTGCGAACTCGAGAGTCATACTTGAGAGTCTTATCACCGATTGTCCCATCACTATTCGTCGTCGAGCCCGACACGCAAGGCTCGTTATTCCACGCAACACCTCTAGCACGTCTCCACGACTCAATAGGCGAGGCCAACATGCGCTGCGTGTAAAACAGGCGACAGTTAGCAGCCTCATACCTAAAATGCACGGGGTATCCCTCAAGATTATCCTCAGTATAGCCGTTCAGCGAGTTGACCTTGCCGACACCGCCTGAAGGGAGGGGAAGAAGAGGTGGGTTCTGCGAGCTGGGAAATGAGGACGATGCGTCGCTGAGGATAGAGGCCGTCTCCTTGTCGGTCTTTGCGTTGGCGCGGACATTGGCGATTGCGCTGGTGATGTCGGCGTTGAAGTTGAGTAGAGTTCCCTTGACGCCGCCCATGGCTTGCATGGCTTGATTGAGAGGACGACCGCCAAGTGCGAGTGTGCGAATACCATGGTTACGGGTGAGAAGACCGGTCAAGATACCACAGGCCGAGGCGCAAATACCATCAGTGACGATAATAATGTTCTCGGGCTTCCAGGGAGCTTCCGCAACCAAAGGCTTCCTCTCGGGGTCGAAGCCGTTGATATAAGCAGGAATGCTCTCATCCCAGGGAACAGTCTTGTCGGTCTGGAAGGCTGCGGTGACGTTCTGGCCCTTGACGGTATAAGGACCATAAAATTCCTTGCCTGTCTCGAGGTATTTGTTACCTGGAGCGACAGGGTAATACTCAGATCTTGTGATCAAGGACTTGACGAGGTTATCATAGTCGACCTCGGCAGCTGCTTCAAGAGCAGGGTTGGCGCGATATCGATCCCAGCCCGTGAACTCTCCTTCGGGAAACAGGAGACGATAGATGGAATGGGCAAGAATGACTGAACCACCACCGTTGGCAGACATGTCGATGATGAGCTTATCACGACCAGTAGCCTTGGCCACCTTGATGAGCTGAAGGATGACAGCTTGTCCCTCAAGGATGAACTTGGTCATGCTAAAGTCGGCAGGGGGGTTGCCGATGTCAATGCCAATAGGCAAGAAGCTCAGGATGGAGAGAACAGCAGTGTCTTTATAGTCCTCGCCGTTGAGAAGGTATGCAGAGACAGCGTTGCTCGATTGTTTGACGAGAGGTTTGGGATATCCAGGAAGATCATCGTCAGTCTCTTGAGTTGAACGACGCTCATTGGCAGAAGGTTCTTCGGTGGTGGTGTTTGTGGGAGTGATTTCGACATGATAATGGAAATCTTCGCCGGACTCGATACCAGAAAGGTCAACAGTAGCAGGGATGACCAACTGGTTGACAATCTCCAACTTGCTACCGTTATGGAACTCGATGGTATA